CATAAGCTTTCTTGAGCAATCCATTTCTTCTCTTTGCAAATGTAACTTGTCTATTTATCTTGTTCTCTATCCTCTTCAACTCTACTCTTCCTCTCCCCATAATCTTCCTTAAAAAACCCTTTTTCACCTTTAATTCCTTACTATATTTATACTAACAACACACCCCTATAACTTTAGATTATCTATTATATCTCTCTTTGTATATAATTGTTTCTTCTTTTGCTAAAATTATGTTGTTGTTTTTCTCGGTTCTTGGGAAGCAGCTGCTGGTTGAAGGGTTGGTTTTGGTTTTGCTAAGTCAGGATCTCAGGTCCCAAAGTGAAACCAAATTTGTGAAAAACAAAGAGAAAAAAGAAAAGTGGGGTTAGGAAAAAGCAAAATTAATAGCAAGAGAGAAAGAGAAAGAAAACGAGAGAAAATTTGCTTGAATTATTCAGTTCCTTGTAACTTTGGTTCTTCACCAGTTTCAGCTTTCTAACCCCAAGGTTTTCATTTATGTAAAGAGATTATTCTTTTTCCTTTCAAAAAAGATAATTACTGTGTTGTACTGGGGTTGATTTTCTTTCCTCGTTTCGTACAATCTCTGCAAAATTTTGTTGATCTGTTTTGAGTAAGAGTTTTGCGAATTCTCAGTTTTAGCGTTTGATTACACGCTCCTAAGAATTGAACGCGTATCGGTTTAGTGAATGGATAGGATAATTTTACACATGCTATTTTTTAACTAATAAGATTAGGTAGTTTTATTGAATACGTAAAATATATTATTCGGTAAAACAGATATTTGATTCGTGTTTAAAAGATAAAAATAAGTCGATTGAAATTTTGGAGTCCTATGATCCTCGATGACGATGGTCACCGATGATCGATGACGACAATCGATAGTGATCAATAACGGTAATGAGTGGCAGCCAATGATAAAAACTTTAATTGAATTTAGGGTAAGATATTTTATCTAAAGTAACCAAGGTTAACACTCTAGTGATCAAAATAAGACAGATAAAAAATAAAAGTAACTAAAATATAACTTTTTCAAAATTGATGACCAAAATGAAACATATAAAAAATAGAAGAGATCACTAATATAGTTTACCCTATAATATTTTTACTTTTTCCTAAGAAAACAACTAAAAAAATATTGCAAAAAAAAAATCTATCATCCCATTAAATTCGTCCATTTTAGGTTTTAAAATCATCTCATCTAAAATGTCATATTAGAAAAGTTAATAAATAACAATATTTCTATTTCTATTTTTATCTTTATATGTCTCATTCTCTTACACTTATCAAAATAAATATGTTAAATCTATTAATCATTTTTTAAGAATAATTATGTTATTTCTTATATTTTTTAATAATTTAAGATGATTACGATATAGTATTTGTTGTTGCATGTTATTACACGTATTGAATGGAATATTTCGATCTACTTTATTTGGCAGGAAAGAAATGAGAGGAATCATGGGGGAAATTTAGATGTGTTCAGGTGAGTTTTAAGGTTATTAGATCTATTGTGCATACTAGATTGTTTGGAGTAAGGGGTGTGCCCCTTTCTCGGTTGCTTTGTTGAGGGGTTAAAGTTTGACTGGTTTTTAGTTTATACTGATTTTTTTTTGCATGAAATGAAATCATTTGATTATAAAAAAATACCGCACATACAAGATATTATTGGATGAATAATATTCTATTTTATTACCAAATATACTTATTATATAATTAAATGTATCTCTTCAAATTATATGAATGGTTAAAATGAAAAAAATAATGGAACGCGTGGAGTATAAAATATTGGGTGTGATATCACGCGGCAAGTGAGAGCGTGATAAGAAAGTTCATTTTGTTTTGATGGCTACTTTTCTCTCTCAAATTCTAGTTGTGTGTTATCAGAACGTCGTCATCTACATTAAAATGAATTTACACGTGTCAGATATTGGTTGGTTTCAAATGTATACTAGCGCCAATAAATTACAAATATATTAGAATGATTCGGTTAAAAGTTGTATATTGGAAATAAAATAATTGGTGAAAAGATGTTGGAATATAGAAATGTTGAAGTAGTATTTAATTAACATAATAAAATAATATCACTTTATTATGATTATCTTGATGTAATATTATTATATTATTATTAAAAATATTATTCTTTATTTCTCACTAAACGTGTGTTTTTTTAATTATCAAGATAAACAATAACACTTATATTTTTTGATTTTATCCTTTTATATTTGTCAAAATAAATCTAGTAAATATATCAATCACTTTTTAAGGATAATTTTGTCATTTATCTTGGTTAAATATATCTCCTAAAATTATGTGCATAATCAATGTGAGACGCAATTTATGAGATAGAGTGAGTATATTATTTTATTCATTTGATTGAAAATAAAATATAATTTTGTGTTTTATTAAATTATTTTTTAATAATCAACCAATTATCTAGTGAGAAAATATATTAAATCTCTTAAGTAAAATCAAGATTTGAATCATGATGGTGAGAATGAAACAAATGAATTAAAAGAGTTGTTCACATAATAAAATTTTACACTATCCAAGTCGATATTAGGGTTTTTTCTAAATATATTTATGTCGCCCTTCTCTTTCACTTTAATTTTTATTTAGCAGTCGACGGTGTTAGTATAAATGTTGGTTGTCGACCGTCAGTGATTATTAGTTATCTTATTCTTTTCATATTATGTCATTTGTTTTCCTTTTTTTCAGTTTTTATTTTTCAATTATGAATAAGAATCTTTATCCTTATAATACGTTTTTTCTACTCTCGTAGCATGTTTTTGCTTTACTCTTGTTGCATGATCCTTGTGGCTTTTGATACGTTTTTCGCATACATTTGCGATCATTTTGGTGCTCGCACAAATGTCATTTATTTTTTGATTGGTTTGTTGTTTGTCAAATATAGTCAAATCACCTCTTTGTTAAAAAAATTGTTTGTCAATATAATTACTAAATTGTTTTGATGTTGGTCGACATTTTCAAGGAAAGGTTTCGATTTTCTTCATATATTTGGTTTTAATATTTTTTGTATAAATTTTTTTGTGTGACTTTTGTCCCCATTTCTCTATGATTGAGTAAGTTACCATTTAGATTCATTCATTTTTATACTAATGAAATTCAGTTGTCATTGTTAAAAGAAAATTTTTTAATGTCATACTTAGATTAATCAATCAATTAACTAATGTGATGAGTAAAATTATGAAGAACCTATAATTATAATTTAAGAGTTAATTTGTATATGAAAAATAAATAAAAAATTAATATTTTTTTTCACGATCCTCTCTCTCCCTCGTCATCTTCTTTGTATTTCGATTGATCAAAGGTTTTTGAGGTATATAAATTTAAACGGTAAAAAAGTATTAAAAATGAGAATAACCACAATCAAAATTTCTATGTAATCGTGACAGTCAAATTTAAATATTGGAGTATGTATATCCAAAGTAGTTTTTGAATTCATGAATTTTAAGAAAGTTTTTATGACAAACTTGGTGCAAAGTCGAGTTAACAAGAAGCTATAACATTGATATAATATAGCGGCCGGAGCATTCCAAATCTCGTAGAAAACTAAAGGAAAGTATTGCTCACTTTTAATCCCTCTAAATTTCCTGAAATTTATTTCTTTTCGGACACAGTAAATGCGAGAGTTCCATGCGAATCTCGACATCAAAGACATGAGAAGATCTTCATCACTGGTATCTCGTAGACTTGAACCGGTCGAATCTCATTTGTAAAACTCATTTTTAAATTAAATTAGCTTGTAAAACACGTGTTAAAAGTGCCTGAATCTTGGATTCCCACGAAATCGAATTTGTCGGATCCCGTCGGAAAGTTTTACATGGATTACTTGTCATAACACGCTTTACTGCTCTATTGGCGAGTGAGTAAACTACTGGTGGGTCTCAGAGTATCAGGGGCCGTACGAATGCGTAAATATATAGAGTTAAAATTTTAAAAACCACTGTGAGACACGTGGCATTCTTGACGGCTGGCAAAAGTGGCTTTCAGAGCTTAGCTATGCTTTTCAAGAGTAATATTAAAATTTTAGAATGTATAAAATGTTTTCTCCTCTATGAATATTGTAAAAGAGTAGGTTTTTTATTATTATTAGAGAAAAATAGTTCTATAACATTTTCTAGGGATTTTTTTATTTATTAAAATTTAATTCTTATAATACAATACTAAATATCATGTACATGAAATTACCGAAACACTGCAACAAAATGAGAGAATATATGAAGGAAATGAAAGCGGAGAAAGGACATGTCAATGACACAATGCTAAGTTTAGTATTCTGATCAGTTCCACCTTTTATCCTGTTGGTTCATCTTCACTTTTGCACACCATGTCAATCCCAATCTCATTGCTCTTTCAGAATGTGGGATCTGAAAAAATAAAGTTGTCATTGATGATCAAAATGATGGCAATTTGGAGAGGTTAGATTCAATGCACTCTACAAAAGCTAGTAAAAGAAGTCACATCATTTCACGAATCAATAAATGAAAAATTGGGCATACATGCCATGTTACACAGGTTTAAAGTGTGTATCGAATTTGGATATATGTAAGATAATATATTTATTTTTTATGGAGTATGTATTTAGAGATTAAAAGTCGAATTATTGTTTAAATAGGAGAAGGATAATTATTAAATACAAATATTTTAAAGAAAACAATAAACGAGAAAACACAAGCACATTAACTTAGTGGTAGAATTGCATATCCACCCAACGACATGATCATCATCTTGTGAGAAATCAGTAAAAATAATGCTTGAAATTGATAAGCTTATAAAATACAGATGAATGTGAGCTGTCGATTCAACAACCTAAGAAAGAAGATAAGTTTGTGATGTAAAATATGTTGCAAGTGGGTAATAATCATGTCATAATCATATATGCATCTTTATTAGTCGAGGAGATGTTACAATAAAGACGACTAAAACAAATATGATCCAAAACAATCAGATGTACAAGTGGGATTACCAAATTCTTTCCATTCAATCATTTTCCCTAAATCATTCATGTCCAAACGCCGGTGTCTATGACATACCCGAATAAAAGCGATCGGATTCATCAGACATCATCATCATAACATTAGGATTGATGAATAAAACCAGTATAAATAGGTGTCATTGTCACAAATCACCTTCCATAAGTGGATTTACAGAACCCGGTGTACATACAATGGCTTTAGAAAGACAGCTAATGATCATATATTAAACACGAGCACGAGTAAAAACGAATTCCATGGCACGATCGAGAATCATCCAGCAGTTGTATTAGAGCAATCGGGACAGCTGAAGTGACCTCTAGCTTGACATTTTGTACATCCAACAGATTTTACCTTAAATTCCTCGGACTGATACAAATTATCAACGAGGTTAAAACTTAATGGTCCATTTGCTTTGATTAATCCAGTTCCCCTGCATCTCGAGCATGCTATCACCTGTAGATCACCACATCTCTTGCACAAGCCCAATGAACTGCAAGTTAACAGGTTGCATATCAGCTCGTGCATTGTATTAACAACGATCCTAACCGTGCAGATTACAGCAGCCAATTAAACATATACCAGAACTTCTCTTTTTTCTATCAAAGTTGAATAAAAGTGGGGAACCTCATAATATAGATAAGACATATTACCTACCTTAATATGATAATGTGCAACTCAGTTTAGAAAGAAATCGATTTAGTTCATTCACTCGACAATGATGCTGGAGCTTTATCCATTACCCCCCTAAAGCAGTCCTTGCTTAATCCTTATGTTTATCATCAGAAAAACCAAAAAGGCAAACTTTATATGCATTCCACTATTGGCATCCAAGCTTTTCCTAAATAAATGAACCACAATTACTATAGCAGGATAACTACATCACCAAGACGAAAGTGAAGCTGATGATTCTGAAAGGGTTTTTATATTCAGTCTACTACTTCAGGGCCACCTTTTTTTAGATGTAAAGGATGGCATAACTTGGAGATATGGGAAGGGATTACCGGTTTCAAAATTCGAACTCTAACCTGCAAGATATCGCCTCTTAAAAGTTACTGGGCGAACTGAGTAGGCTAAATCCTAGGTTCCTTCCGGGTCACTTTTGATTTGCACTACCATAACATGACAATAAAAAGTCATTTTTTGTTGTTGAATAATTCTATGTAGGGCAGTGCATTGGTTTGAGATACAATCATCACAAAGAACATATATGAAACATGAAGATATAGTAATCATTTCATAAAAATTCAAACAACCCCACAATTAAATCTATTCTAGGAATACATAAGACATTGAAATTATGAACTGAGTTAAAGTACAGTGGTCAGTGGTAGCATTTCCAAAGGACATCCAATTGTAAACCAACAAAGAGAAGAACAAAAACTAAACCAAAATAACAAAAGGTGTCAAAACTCACAAATCATGAACCAAACTAATAATCAAAGCACCCAACTTTTACCCATACCCCCATACCCAGTAAAAAAATGTTTTACTTTTTCCAATGTTTAATACCTAAAAATCTGGGTTTTACTTCCAAACTAAAAATATAGGTGATAATCTTTAAAACAGAAACAAAAAATGGATCTAGAACAGTTACATTCTTTGTGAAGCAGAGATGAAAGCATCGACTTTGGGGGCAGCAATCGTGGCACACAGTAACAAAGTGCCAACTCCAAAGCCTGCAACTTCGCTTGCTGTTATGTGTTCCATTTTTTGCTCTGTTGCTGATCAGACATCTAAAAACCTTATCGATTCAGTAATTCACTTTAGCTTTATGGGGTGCCATGAAATGTACTTTTTTTATATAATAATTAAACATTTTTAATTGAACCCCAACAACAGTGGCCTATTAGCTCAGTTGGTTAAGCGTCGTGCTAATAACGCGAAGGTCGCAGGTTCGAAACCTGCATGGGCCAAATTTAGTTTTTGTCTTTTGCTATAGTGTTAGGCCGATTTGGTCACACTTTGGGCCAAAATCTGACCTTTCGGTTGTTAATTGCTAACTGAAAGTCCATCTAATTATTTAAAACTTGACAAATTGCATTGGTGAATTATTTTATCATCAAATAAAACCTACTCAATTTGAGTACAAATTTTATTTATAATTAAATTATAAATTAAATACCAACAATTAGTTGGTTTAGTAGGATGAGACATTAAATTTTTTTATGTAAGATCATAGATTCAAATTTTGGTGTGTGCGAATAAAGCAAATTAAGTTGAAAGAGTCGCCATCGCATCTGCAATACTCGATTAGGATTAATAATAAATTAAAAATATATATATATATTAAATAATTTATTTTATTACTCATTCATAAAACTTAAAATTTCAAAATAATTTAATTATCATATCTCAAGATATGTTTTCACTTACATATTGAGTTTGTGAATTCTAATTTGTAAGATTTCCCGTTGAACATTGTTGGGTACATTCATGATGAAGGGACCCATTCAAATAACATAATCAAAATGGATTTAAACTTTGCGAAGGTATTCGAAGTCCAAGAACTAAAGGATAAATTATGTGAGAAAAAAGGAACAATTTTAAAAGTCATTTCAAAAGAAAGTTTGTTTATTTTAAGATTAATTTAATTAATTTCAGAATCATATTATTTAACTGCTTATGCAAACAATGTCACACATATCACAATTCGTAAAACAAGTACTAATTAATTAATCTTTTCAACTACGACTTAGTGAAGCAGATGCAGAAGTTCCTGGAGAATAAATCAACAAGGTTCCAAAATTATATAATTAGAAAATGTACCCTCCATCCCCTCCAAAACAATTATAATAAGCTGTATTTGCTTGGTTTTGCATGGCAGTCTTGTTGCAGCAATTACCAGGTTGATGATGATGATCATCATCTAGGTTCCACAATCCCCCCCATAATAACCCTTCCTCTACCAGAAATTGATCTATCCAAGAAGCAGCATTTGCAGTATAAGAATTCTTCGAAGCTGGCTCTTGAAACAAGCACTGATCCTCTGAAATAGGGTACAAGGAAACCATCTCATGCTTCCCTCGCGATTGATCAGTGATCTCTACTGCTTCACTATGTACTTTTCCATGATCTCCAGCTTCTTCTGGTTTTTCCTGTTGCTGTTGTTTTAGCTTTAGAATCTGAGCTTTTCTTTTTTGTTGCTTCAGAGAAGACTTCTCTTTCTTCTTAAAATGTGTTCTCCAATAGTTCTTTATCTCATTATCTGTTCTCCCTGGAAGGTATCTTGCAATTGTAGACCATCTGTTTGATTTTTCACATACAAATCAAACACCATAATCATACATACATACATACATATATATTAAAGGAAAAGTAGAAGAAATAATAATAAATCAAGAAGAAGAAGCATTATTACTTGTTACCCCAAAGTGCAGGCAATTCAATAATGATCCCTTCCTCCTGTGGTGTTATATGACCTCTTTTAAGACCAGGCCTTAGATAATTCACCCACCTAAGCCTGCAACTCTTCCCACTTCTATTCAAACCAGAAAAAAGAAAAATAAAAAACCATAATTCACTTAATATTCTTCATTTAATTTATCCAAGGTAATTACATATATGTACCTGCAGACCTAGCTACTGAACTCCATCGTCCTTTTCCATGAAAGTTAACATATTCAGTAAGCAGCTTATCTTCTTGAGGAGTCCAAGGACCTTTCCTCAACCCTAGTTTTGGAGCTTCCCAGCCCATCATTCTAACCATTCTTTCAACTTCTTTTTCCCAATAACTTTCACTAAAAATTGTTGTCTCCAGATTGCATGACACGAGTTCTCACCTTAACTCTCTTATATATCTCTTCAATCTTGTCAGTTCCATGATTTCCTTTTTAAAAAATCCATTTTGATGATCTCATCAGGAAGACAAGATTATTGAAATCAAATTTCAGCTTGAATTCCTCTCAGTTTAGCACAAGTGTTAAATGTCTAGGTGTTCACCAGCTCAGTCCATTTTTTAACCAGTTAGAGACCGACAAGTGTTGGTTATTACATGATCGTGATTCCATAACACAATCTCGAACTACATTGTCTTGTCATAGTAACAAGATAGACATAATCTGACTCTTTTAGGCCAAAAACACAAGTTGATGTCTCCTTGAAAATGGCTCATGGTCCAATCTTTATGGAACACTTGTTGGCATAAACAATTCTTAAATGCATGCATCAGGAATTGTTTATTACCAAAGAAGGTTCTAGGATGCCATTTATGGTAATGGAGGAATTAAATATATGGTGAAAAGGGGAGATTTTTGATGAGTCATTCATGGTCTTTTTACACCTTTACGTCGTATCTGTATATATAGCATATTTGGAATGTTAGGGCATTGCTTAATTGGACCAAAGTTAATATTCTAATGAACAATGGCTATATATAGGTGTTGATGTGTAAGATATTGAAGCTGTTGATTACTATTATAAAATGAAAAATGGTACATCTAAAGATTTTGTTCATTGTACTCATCGAGATCTTGTTTTATAAAGTAATAAGCTTTGTAAGCAGTGAGGAATGCTTGATTTGATAGTAGTGAAGAATATTTAATAAAAGTTGTGGTATTGGTGTTACCTTTCAAATAAGAGTCACTGGTTAGGCGCTTTTGAGGTTGCTTAGGCGTATGATTTATTGTTTTCTTCACTCTTCTTATTCTCTTTTAAGCTGTTCAAATCTATGGTTGCAAAACGATACTAATTCATTGAATCTATGGTTACATCTTCAAGGCTAGCAATAGTCTCCTGGAGAACGTCCGTCACTTTATTCCTTTCTTGGATCACATGCCGTAAACATACTTTCCATTCATACCTTAACATCATTAGTATTGAATTCACTAACACATAAGCTCTGCAGGAGCTGGTCTGTCCATTCAATATGATTGTAAACTCTCAATTATCCGTCTCGAATTCAATTCTTCTGAAGTTATCTGATTAGTGTTTTGTATTGATTGTTTCTGTTTATAGTGACACGTATAATATATACCTTTGTAATCAATAATCCAAAGAGAAAAATGGATTTTGTACTGCAAGCATCTATAAAAGATGGGATATAGCATCCTCAAAGCTTCTTGGTTTGTAGCTTCAATCTCTGGATTATCTGGCGTTGACAAAATTTAGTTGGTTTTCACTCTTAAGCTTTGGCCTCTAATGCATGGCTTTACTTCCTTTCCACTCTCTCTTTCAACTTAGCTCTATGCAAAGAGACAATGAGAACTGCTGAGCTAAGCGGCTTGCTCGTCCACACGTCCTTTACATTTCATATTTTAGGCAGGTTGAATTAAATTAGGCCATTACCATATATATTTTGATGAGTTATTATTTCAATTGAAATTTTATTGAAAAATTATTATTAAATATTCCTAAAAAATTATTATTAAATAATTTTTTATATCTTATTTATTGATCAACTAATTTAGATTAGATATTATATAGATTCATTATTAGAACGATCATACTTTACTATATTCCTAACGTCATAATTCAAAATTTTAATCTTATTTAAGGAATCTAACATTTCATCCCGTTAAACCAATTGATTGCCGGTTTGCTATCAAATAAACCTTTAAAACTTGATTATAAAATTTTCTAAAAATGGTTCAACTATGACGCTTTTTAATTTGTTTTAGTTTCAAGAGTTTGTTAGATCATAAATTTTTATATAAGAGTTCAATCGAGATAATATTTCCCTTAAAAATTCATTTAATTTGAAAGAAATTAATTTATATAAGTCTAATCTGTATAAAACTTTTCAACTATATTCGATCTCAGAATAATAAAAACAATTTTTGAGTGTATATCGATTATTAATTTATACATAAATTTAATTATGATGTTAACAAGAATGATATTAAACTTATCCAAATTTAAAAAATTTAAAAATAATAATTTGGTTTGAAGTTTTCAACCCCTGTTAAAACCAACAGTTGAAGCAGTAAAAGTTAATAATTTGTCTTTAATCCTTTGTTTTGAAGTCCCATAGGCATACGTGGTTAATTTTTATTTATGAAAAGACTTAATCAATGGTGGGTGAAATTCATCTTACACTATTTGCGTTAGTTTAATTTAAATTTGATTACGGACAAATCAATGAAGAATCTGGGACCTCATCAGTGTCGCAACCCTAAAGCCAAAAGCTAACAAACAATTCAATTTCTGCACCACAAAATGGTGGTTTAGATTAAAATTTATGATAAGAGTATATTATTTTATTCTAATTTTCTATTTAATTAATAAGATATTTTAAAATAACATATCTCTCATAAATGATCTGAATTGGAATAATATTGTTTGTAAAATATATATAAGTTTATCGGAAACTAAATACATAATAAATATTATCATAAAAGCACATAAAAATACTTTAAAATTTTAGATGAAAGTTAATTATATTTATTCTATTTAAATTTACATGAATTATATTTTAGAAACGGACCCTAATCCAATCCTACTCTAGTATAAGTCAACTTATTTGAATCCTATAATTTCTTGTAATTTACAAATAACAAAATATATTTCATGGAAGTCAATTGTGACAAACATTTCCGATATTTGTATTCTTTTTTATGGAACGATTAACATGATTCCAAGAGCTACCCCTCCCATTTCATTCTCACCTGCTCCTCCTCAAACCATGATTCTCCAATAAGTCATCTCCTGCAATCTTCAACAACTTCTAACAAAACTGCACAAGTTCTTTCCATGGCCGAAACGAGTAGCAATCCGAAGCCTGATCAGATGACCTTGTCACTTACACTGTCGCAGGGTTTAACCCCACGCGAGGCCAAGCCCGAAGAAAGAGGCATCCGCCTTATTCAATTGCTCTTAAAATGTGCCAAGCATGCTTCCTCTGGCAACTTACACCGTGCCGATGAGTGTCTCCGGCAGATAACGCTGCTTGCCTCCGTGTCCGGTGACTCCATGCAACGTCTCTCAGCATGGTTCGCCTCTGCTCTTGCCGTGCGCCTTGTTAAGCGTTGGCCTGGCCTACGTAAGGCCTTGAACTACTCTCAATTGCAGAAACAAGAACAGTTCGATCAAGCTCGACCGCATGTTGGGCGAGCGTTTACCTACCTCGCGTTCTCTTATGCCATCATATCTCGGACACTCGTCAAGGCCATGACGAGTGAGCGAGTCATCCATCTTGTCGACCTAGGTTCCGGTGATCTGAACTTGTGGATTCCGCTGATTTAGGAGCTTTTCGTGTTTGCACACCGAACCGCCTCTTTTGAAGATCACTTGCATGAATGCTAACAGGGTAAGATTGGAGAATTTAGGCACAAGGCTAGTGAAAGAGGCCGAAACACTCAACATTCCATTCCAATTTAGCTCTCTAAATGTTAGTTTAAGAGAGCTAACATTAGACAAACTTAAGGTAACGTCAGGGGAAGCCTTAGCTTTCATTTCAATCTTAAATCTCCATACTTTATTAGCCGAAGATGATAGTGTAGATGCACATTTCAGCCACAACAACAAGACTAATGGCATCAAAGATTCGAAGCAAATGTCTCGATTTTTATCGACGATCCGATCATCGTCGCCTAAACTTTTGTTCTTAGTCGAAAAAGAAGCTGACCATAATCTAAACAAATTAATTGATCGATTCGTTGAGGGATTGCATTATTACAGTGCGGTGTTCGATTCGGTCGATGCTACACTCAGGGCCAATGCCTCGAGTGGGGAAAGACTTGTTTTGGAGGAAATGTTTGGGAAAGAAATTGAAAACATTGTGGCATGTGAAGGGGTTGAACGAGTAGAGAGACATGAGAGGTATGGGAGATGGATGGTTCGGTTCGGGCAAGCCGGGTTCAAGCCGGTCCGGATGTGGCATGACTCGATGGAAGATGCCAAGGAAATGATGGAAGCATGTGGTAGAAATGGTTACAATATTGTTAATGAAAAGGCAAGTTTGATGATTTGTTGGCATGATAGACCATTATATGCGGTGTCTGCATGGACTTGTTAGAGGGTACATAATTTTTTGTTATTAAATAGTTTGATGTGATTATAATATAATATTTTAATCTATGAAGCATTCTTAGTAGTTAAAAGGAATATAATTAATAGAAAATAAAGTACTTTAACATCTGTCCAAGAGAGTTTCTTGGCTTCAAAATTTTGTAATTTACAAACTTTCATATGCTAAATTGCAAAAATCAAAGATTCCAAAAAGTTAGGCAGTAACGTTATTATAAACATTTGTTATTCGTAAATATTTATTATGACTAGAACTTTATTTATTATATAAATTTTTTATACATTCTATAATATAATTTTTATATCTATTAAGATTAAAATTTTATTTGATATATATATTTTTAATCTATATGCATAAAGTTTTTTTTTTGAAATAAAATAAATTTTCGTTAAAAATGTCTCTTAACTCGATTAAATTAAGACTCAATCGGAAGGCACTAACCCAAACACACGCCAAAACCAGTGCTTACAGAGCACTGACCGATCTTATAACACAACCAAAGTTAATACCTGCAAAACACACACAATACATCTAGGACTTATCCAATTTTAGTCACCGTAGAATCACTGATTCTGAAAGGCACTATAAATGCTCTTGAGCTGAATTATCCAGCTGCTACTTGTCATCTTCAACCAATGAAGCTCTTGTTGCCAAGAAGCTTAGTGCCATTCTTTTCACCATCTTCGGCAGCATTAACTGAGCAAATCTCCAACCCCTCATAATCACAGTGGAGAGCCCATGTTTGAGCAAGAGCAGCCATCATTTATAAAGGAGACAGAAACTCATTATCAAGAAACGGGGATCTTCCTTTCACTAAAACCGTCACCTGCAAGCAAAATCATAACTACCAGACCACCAAATCCAATCAGTAAAATAATTATCTCACATTCGGTCATTATTTTTAAGCACCCCTTCTTTCGCTAATTAGTGATTACAAATTCTAGGGCAATAACGAATAATCCATTTATTCAAATGAATGGCCTGCGAGATTTCAGAAATTTTATCAGCGTAAATTACCAGAGTTTTAGAGGGATCGACGATCCAGTTTGTTGCAACTTGACTGTCACTCTCAATTATTAATCTGAAACACGTCTTCCATTGGGATGACAAAAAAGCTGTGGTAGCTTGCTTAATTGCACAGATTTCGGCTAGAATAGGTAGACCTGGGCCGATCGACTTAGAGAAAAAAAGCAAGGTCGAACTATTTCCATCCTTTAACACCCACCCCTTTGATTCAGCACTACCATCGCTTTTCATAGCCTCATCAACATCAAATTTCAAAAAGCCAGTATGAGGAGCCAACCACTTAGTAGAAAGTGGCCTCTTCACCTTGATATTAGATAACCTCCATGCACAAAAAGGGTCTCGAACCAAATCCTCGAAAGGAGGAGTAGCATAGGGGAACTTGACCTTGAACCACCAAGTCAATCCAGTCTTGATAAAAAATTTCAATTCCAAGGGGTCATATTCCCCCCCCCCATAAAGATCACATCATTTCGACAAAGTCAAATCGATCATAATACTACAAACGAAATCACGTTCTCAACAAAGCTTCATGCCAAGAGCTCAAGAATAACTTGGGATCAGTTGGAATCAAGAGAGAAATGCTCCATAAAGAGCAAAAATGCATCCATAGCCTCCAAGAGATTTCACATGCGAAGAAAAGATGGGCCACTGTTTCTGGATTAGAATTACAAAGAGGGCATGAAATGTTTTCATCTAACCCAAAACATCTCTTCGCTAATTCAGTATATATTTATTTTCTCTACTTTCCTAATTATATAATTTTTCATTATACAAATAACAATTATTTATTAATTTCACTCATGTACACGTAAAACTAGCTTATTTTTAGTATTGTTTTTGAAAAAAACTATTAGTTATTTTAAATCATTTAAAATAAATGATAATATTGTCAATCAACTATAATGATGTATAATATATAAATAAATTAAAAATTTTAATTTTAATTTTAATTAAAAAAATATGTTTTTCCTATTTGTATTAATCATCTGTTTTAATTCATCTAATTTTACAATAATATAATAAAAAAAATTAGCTGACCCTTATTCTCATATGTAATGGGATAAGGGGGAGGTAGGATGACCCCCAACGCCAGGTTGAGAGCAGCTTCCGTAGGAGACCTCCAAATTATGAAATGCCCACCGTGAGACTCGATCCCATGATCCCAAAATTAAAAGCCTTGTGCTCTACCAACTGACCTGTATGATCATTTGAAAAAATAGTGAGTTTGGTTTGCCTTGGGCCTATGGCCCTTGGGGGTTGAGGTGAGGAGGAGTCTTCCCTATGGCTTGTACATCAAACCTCCCGTTATTTTACAGAAACGCTGCCGTTTTATTTATTTATTTTTAGGGTAAAGTATAGTAATGGTCACTGAACATTTTTGAAGTTTTCATTCAGGTCCCCCAACTTTTAAAACTTGCAATACAATCCCTTAACATTTATTCCGTTTGCAATATGGTCCCCAACTTAAACCACTATTAGAAAATTAGGGTAAATATATAATCGGTCATTAAACTTTTCAGACACTTGAATGTAGGTCTCCCAACTTTTAAAACTTGTAAAACAATCCTTAATTTCATTATAAACCCCAATTTCCAAAGTAATTCAATTTCCTTCTAAACCATTGATTCTACTAAATCATAAATGATCACTGTATGAGCAAATTCAGGTGAATCATAAATGATCGCACTGTAAAGCACTGAAGGGTTAGGTACTCAAATCTGATAAAAAAAATAGCATGCAAGAACATAGTGGTACTTAAATCATAATGCTCCAAATGAGTGTTCCGAATTTCATATTGTCAAAAGTTGAAGAAATGAGCAGAGTTTATGGGAAGTTGAAATACCGAATAGAGTGCTTCCATTTTGCTATTCGGGATGTTTAATCAATGCATATTGTTATTCAAAATTGATATAAATAGTTAAACAAACCTCAAATTTATATTGAAATAAATATTGTCAAATAGTAAATTCATGTTCAAAATTTCAAAACACCTTAATTTCATTCTAAACCCTAACTTCCAAAATAATTCAATTACATTCTAAACCTTAAATTGAATTATTTTAGAATTTGGGGTTTAAAATTTAATTGAATTATTTTGAAATTTAGGGTTTAGAATAAAATTAAATTACTTTGGAAATTGGAGTTTAGAATGAAATTGAGAACTATTTTACAAGTTTTAAAAGTTGGGAGACCTAAATTCAAGTGCCTAAAAAGTTCAATGACCGTTACCCTAATTTTTTAACAGTGGTTTAAGTTGAGGGACCATATTATAAACGGAATAAATATTAGGGAACTATATTGCAAGTTTTAAAAGTTGGGGAACCTAAATGCAAGCTTCAGAAATGTTCAGTGACCATTACTATACTTTACCCTTATTTTTATGGAATTCTTAAATTCCAAACACATATTCAATCTTCCCTCTTCATCGTAATAAGGACGTCGCAGAGCCAACGCCTCTGCTGTGAATGGGTCTTTAGCATTTCTTAAGGTCAGAGCAAAGATAATTATTTGTTTAGAAAACTATTTAATGTTTCATTTTAAAATTAATTTCATTTTTTATTAAGTGCATTGCTATTTATTTCGTTTCACAGATCTTCTCTTCTTTGATTTCTTGTTCGTTCTCCGCAACTGTATCAAGGCTGAACACCCTGTAAGTCCGTAACTCTCCACAGTGTAATATTTTTCTTCTCATTTCCCTGTGTGTTATTTTATTATTTTTAATGAAAAAGCTTGGATTTCTTGAGCAACTCACGGAAAATTAGCATTTTTTTATTAGTTTCTTAAAGATTTGGTTGTCTATGCAAGACGAAAATTTTAGGTTATCGATAATGATCTTAAAAGGGTTGTTTGTTTATTAATATATGAGCAAACTGGAAATGGGTTTTGCCGTTTTTGTCTTATTTATGATAATTAGGGAATAGAAGAGAAATCGGTTGTTAGAGAATCATTTCCGTGGATCTCTTGCAAAATAACAAATCTTATAACGATTCAGTTCTTAGTATACAGTTCTTCGCTAGCTGCAATTAAAAGGAAGAAAATTTAAAATAATTTTTTTCATTGGAAAAGCTTGGGTATGAAGCACATGTATATGTATAGAACTTGAGTATCTTAATGAAGATGTTCGTATCTACAGATTGAATAAGGTGTTATGCCATGAACTTATATGAAACTGTGATTAGTGGCATTAATTTATAGAAACAGTTTGTATAATACTTGGGGAAAACTATTTAGATATCATCAAACTTTAAGCGATGGTTCGTTTATATCATCAAACTTTTAATTTTGTCAATTTTAGCTCCCATGATTAGTTTTACGTTCAATTATGTCATTCAACAGTTAATGACATGGCAGCTGTGTGCCATGTTGCCTCACTAAAACGATGTCGCTTTGATTCCCCAAATGTCCAAAACGATGTCGTTTTGCTTAAGAAAAATTGTTAAAACAATGTGTTTGAAGGGATTCAAATTTCATACCTTTATAAACAAAGGTTATCCTAGGGACTAAACTCAAATTTTCCAATTATATTTTTCTCTCTTCTTCCTCCTCATCTTCATCTGCATGGCCATATGTGATTCATTCACGAACCCTAATTCCATCAATTCAGTTTGGGCCTCAAAATACACTTCTCCCTTTTTATCTCTTCACATCTGTAATACACCTTTTTGTAATTAAATAAGACGCTGCTGTTTTATGGGGTTAGGGGCAAGGATTTTATGATCTTTTTGTATTGAGGGTAAAACCCAAATGGGTGAGGATGTGGACAGATCAGAATTATAGAATGAAAATGTTTTCTCTCTTCATTCGTTTCTTATATTTCTTCTCAGCTTTTCCTACTGCTTAGCTTAATTTCTGCTGCCTTTCTTACCTTGATCTATTCTTCTTCCATTTCTTTTAGTTTTCTGTTTGTACCTGTTACAGCATCCAACTCTCTCATCCTTCGATCCTTCGACCTCCATTATTCAATCCATCTTCCCCTCCCAATTAACTGAGGTATCTCCATTCTTCTCATTCCCCTCTTTCATTTCTGCCTTTTCCTTCATTCTTTTTTTAAAAACTTTTTTGATTTCAGTAATTCCTTTTAGGATTTTTTTTGTGATTGATCACGTCAGTGGATCCTTCTCTATGTATATTCAAAATTTCTATCGAATCTACATTGTTCGGTCGAAAGAGTTGTGATTTTCTTCCGCTTTTAGGGTTGTTTTGGTGATTTTGTGATTGAATTGGCGTCTTCAAATGCTTGTTCTTTGATTAAGGAAAATAGACTCTGTTGAAATATGCTGTTTAGATGTATGCGTTATTATTCAGGGAAATAGAATACAAAATTTTCCATCTTTTCTTTTAACCTGAAATTCAGGCTTTTCATAAATATTCTTGAAAAGTTGGAGGCGTTTGTCATAGTATATTTTCTTCCGCTTTTAGTTTGTTTTGGTGATTTTGGGATTGAATTGGCTTCTTCGAATGCTTGTTCTTTGATTAAGGAAAATAGACTCTGTTGAAATATGCTGTCTAGATGCATGCGTTATTATTCAGGGAAATAGAATGCAAAATTTTCCATCTTTTCTTTTCATAAATATTTTTCAAAAGCTGGAGGCGTTTGTCTTGGTATATTTTCTTGTAAATTTGGTTGCAGCAAAGAATTGGTTTCTCTGTGATTAAAATCCAAAAACACGGGGTTTTAGTCTGCAACTTATCTATGTGAAGTAGTTTTCCCTAATACTTTTTAGCTTTTTGCCGCATAAGAGTCTAAGAGAATACATGTGATTGAAAATAGCACTACATATTATGGGTGATAAAGTTAAATTCAATCCAATTTCTAGGTTTAAGAGGAGTTGACATTCAAATATTTTGTGTTATAAATTCCTATGTTGCCAGAAAGGGAGATTATTTTCCCCCTTCAAAATTTATATTATATGTTGTTATTTATGCCTCCTAGCTTGAGCCAGATGTCACTAGTCATCCGGGATTGCAATTCAATGATAGAAATGGTTACTCTCAAATGCATCCCTTTCATCTGTAATATATATTTCTTCTTCACGGTTTGTCACTTTTCTGAGATTTTGTTTTTTGATAGTTTTCTCTGATCTCTGGCAAGATAGCTCTGCTGTTTACCATAAAAAGTACACTGTTTTGGATTCTATAATAATAAAAAGAAGGGAAGAAAAACCAATGGAAGAACCCCATTCAATGAACAGTCCAAGGACAATCCTTAGTTTTTCAAAAAGAGGAAGAACAACGACAGCCTCTGTCTCATTCGTTGATCCAAATGATGAAAAAACAAATTCCGTGGAGCATGGTCCAAAACCTTCTGAAGTTTATGGATTTGTTGGTTCCATTACGACTGTTGTTGCTACAGGTCCTAATCTCTTACTTCCCGCCTTTTTTATTTATAATTTTATGTTTTTTTTTGGCATGTTATTACTTTGTTGTTTCAGGACTGAGGGTTTTAATGTCAAGGTGGTAAGATGGGGATATGCGAAAAATGCATGTCTGATCGTTTTTCAGTCGGAGGAAGAGAAAATCGCAGCGGTGGAAGACAAATGGGAGGCATTGTCCTTCTGGATTGAAAGGCTGGAGCCTGTCTTGGAGACAAAGGGTGTTCCTTTATCTTACTGTTCTGTGTCCTTGATGGGTGTCCCTCTAAATTGCTGGTCAGTGCCATTTTTTTCTAGTTTGGCTGCAAGATGGGGCAAGCTAGTAAAAATCCAGGATCAAACAGCTCAAAGAGTGGACTGTAGAGTGGCGCATATGTTGTTAAGAGTGGAAAGCCCGTTTGATATACCGTCCCAGGAAATCATTAATACTTATGGTAGATCCTTTATTATTAAGATTAAAGTGGAAGGTTGTGATGAGTTCTTTCCCGAGCTAGATGATGGGGTTGTTGATGGTGGGGTAGAAGATGGTGGTTCTGTGGGAGGTCGAGTCGTCCCGGGGGCAGAAACTCGATCGGAAGGGATCAAAGGGTCAGATGGAGAAGATCTGCAAGGACAGTTGAATTTCCAGTTGATGTCAGGTGCAGCTCATGGGGTTGGCACGAGGATTGATGACAATTTGAATTTTAACATGGAAGTCAATAATATTATAGGAGTTGACCACTGTGTTGAGGGGACAGTACTAGGTGAGACGAAAAGCAAGCAGATTGTGTCAGAGTTTCCTGCTGCTGAGAGAAAAAGGGTGTTCAGCGTGGAAGATGGTACCTCGGGACAAGAGAAAGGAGTCAAAGATTATGGGACTACTTCTATAATGGGTAGATCTGAGGAGGTTGGGCCTGAGCAGTATGGGTTTGTTCCTTCAGCCCAGTGCTGTCCTGTGGATAATGAAAACAATTTTCAGGACCAAATACTATCTGATTCTTATGAGGAAAACAGCAGTATCAGGGTGGAGGAGGTGATTGATAATAGCAAGGAATGTGAGGTTTTGGATAGGGGTAAAAAAAGGTAGCAAATCTAAGAAGGCTATTAGTAATCCGATGGTGAAGAGTTGCAAGAGATGGAGATTGGGATATCAGGTTTCGAAAGGCATGTCAACCAGTAAGACCTCTACAAGTTTGAAGGGTTGTGGACGTTTTGATAGGGTGTACAGAAGGTCGAAAACAAGAAGAGTTTGGCTTTGTTCAGAGGTGAGTCACAGACACATTCAGAACAGGATGGTTCTTCATAATTTCAAACAATGTTCTTCAGCTTCAGGGGATAGGGGTCAGGAAAAGGATTCAATCGGCTCTGCCCTAGATCAGAATACTTCCCCGAGGCACATTAATAGCAGTCTGCCTCCAATTAGGGGGGTGGTAGATCCGTCTATTATTTCAAGGAATAGGAGATTATACAGAAAGAAGAGAAGAGGACTAATCTCAGAAGCTCTAGCCAATACAAAAAGTTTCTACAGTCTACTCTAGTTCTTTCTCTAATGTTCTTGAGGAAGCATTGAGTACTTGGGAAGTATGTCAGAGATTAGGCATTTCTTTCAAGAAAGGGAGGGAGGCTTTTATGGATAAAATTAGAAAGATGGAGGAAGGTGTAGGGGGGATGGATGAAGCTGGTCTGTAAGCCAGTTTCAGTTTCTCGAAGGTTTGGGATTGAAGTGTTTATGATGGAGTGTAATATTATTTCGTGGAATGTTAGGGGCTTAGGAAGAAAGGAAAAGATTAGAGGGGTGTCGAGACTTGTTAATAAGGTCAAACCGATTGTTTTGTTTTTACAGGAGACAAAACTGAGTAAAAGGCAGAAGGGACTTAATCGAAGGTTAGGAGGTAAGCTGTTGAAGGGATTAAGTTTTCAACCAGCGGAGGGGTCTGCGGGTGGACTGATGTGTCTGTGGAATGAAGATGCTTATGAGGTAAATGAGATGTTTAATCACAGTAGATTTCAGGTGTTAATAGGGAAGTTCAAGGTGTCTAAGGTGGAGTGTGTTTTTATCAATGTGTACGGTCCTTCTGTTGAAGAAGATAAGGAGGAGTTTTTCACGCAATTGTTGGGTTATGTTCTCAAGGTTGATCTGCCACTCTGCATTGGTGGAGATTTTAATGCATATCTCGAACAAGAGGAGAAGATAGGTGCATCACAAAATTGGCATTCAATGGGTCTGCTAAGGAATTTCCTCCAACAGTCAAACCTACTAGACTTACCAATGGTAGGTGGCTCGTTCACTTGGGGTAGTAATAGAGAAAGTGCCACTTGGGTAAGGCTTGATCGTTTCTTATTAAGTACTAGCTTCTTAAGATGCTTCCCCAAGTCGGTTCAGAAGTTGCTACCTAGATCCCTTTCTGATCATAACCCGATTCTATTGGTTGAAGATGGGAAGAACTGGGGACCTAAACCCTTTCGTTTTTTTAATTATATGTTGGAGGAAGAAGGCTTCGTAGATATGGTTCAAAATGCAATGTCAGATCGGAACGATGATAGAGGGGGAAGAGAAATGTTCGGTTTATTACAAAGTACTAAAAAGCGTATTAAGGATTGGCCAACCAGAAATAAACAGGGGATATCTGAAGATATTACGAGGTTGGAGCGCAAAATAAATGACTTGGAAATTAAGGCGCAAAGTGGTGGGCTATCCAGTTTGGACTGGGAACAGCTTCTTTCATCCAGGAAAGAGCTTTGGAAAATGCACAGAATTGTGGAAAGGATATGGTGTCAACTGTCGAGGCAGAAACGGATCAAAGATGGTGACAGAAACACTAGGTTCTTTCAAATATGTGCTGTAAACAGAAACAGATTGAACACTATTTCGGCATTGAAAGTGGATGGTGAGGTGATAACAGATCCAGAGTTGATTAAAGTCCATGTTTTTCAGTTCTTTAAGAAAGCTTTTAATTCCAAAGATTTTTTAGAGGTGGAGAACTTAAATCTAAATTTTGATAAATTGAGAGGAGAACAGAGGATTAGTTTGGAGACTATGTTTTCAGAGGAGGAAGTAAGGGAGGCTATTTTCTCTTCGGACAGTTCGAAAGCCCCAGGTCCGGACGGCTTTACAATGGGTTTTTACAAGAAGTTCTGGCCAACTTTGAAGGGACAACTTATGAAGTTTGTTGAGGATTTCTATTATGGGAGAAAATGGGACCATGGTGTCAATCACGCGTTCATTTCTCTGATTTCAAAGAGAAACAATCCGGAATGCATTGAGGACTATAGACCTATAAGTCTAGTTGGCAGTCTCTACAAAATCATCTCCAAAGTCTTAGCTAGAAGACTAGTTTCAGTGATTCAAGATATTGTAAGCCCTTCACAGTTCGCATTTATTCCGGGGAGACAACTTCTTGATTGTGCTTTTATTGCAAACGAAGGTATAGACTGCTGGAGGAAGAAAGGGCTGAAAGGGGCGGTTTTCAAAGCTGATTTTCAGAGGGCGTATGACTCGGTTGAATGGCCAATTATTTTCAGATTATTGAGAGTCATGGGCTTTGGGGACAGATGGGTTTCATGGATAAAATGTTGCCTCTCAACGGCGACAATATCGGTACTAGTGAATGGATCTCCTACAGAGGAGTTCTCGATGGGTAAAGGGCTAAGACAAGGATGTAGTTTGTCTCCTCTATTGTTCAATATAGTGGGGGAACTGTTAAATCGCATGTTATTAAAAGCGGCGGATGTGGGACTTTTTCAGGGTTTGCTTTTGGAAGTTCGGATGCCCTTAGTTTAACTCACCTACAGTTTGCTGATGACCTGATTCTGTTTTGCCGAGAATCATCTACTTACATTCAGAATATTAAGAGAGTCCTGAGGATTTTCAGCATAATGATTGGACTTCATCTGAATTTGTCGAAGAGTAATTTGTATGGGATTAATGTGGAGGTTGAGACATTAAATGAATGGGCGAAAGAGATTGGTTGTGCCGTTGGAGTACTGCCAACAGTATATTTAGGTCTACCATTAGGAGCAAAAAGAAACTCCGAGGCTTTGTGGGAGCCAGTTATGCAAAGTTTTAGAAAGAAGTTATCCGGATGGAAAGCTTCTACATTATCTATGGCAGGCATATTAGTGCTGATTAAATCTGTTTTATCATCTCTACCAATTTTTTTCCTCTCTATTTTCAGGATGCCGAGTAAGGTTTATAGGAAGCTTAACTCTATTATGGCAAACTTTTTGTGGGGGGAGGGTCCTTTAAAGGGCCGAATTCACTGGGTGAATTGGAAAAGGGTCTGTCAACCTTTAGAGGAAGGTGGTTTGGGAATCTTGGATTTGAATTTCGCCAATAGAGTGCTGCTAGGTAAATAGGTGTGGAAGTTCGCAAATGAAAAAGACTCACTTTGGAAGAACATGATTTGCAGCAGACATAATGTGAGCATCCAGTCCTTAGACCTCAGCAAGGCAGTCTCTCCGTCGGATTCTTGGATATGGAAGGGTATTACAAAGAATTTTTTGGCAGAGGACGAAATTGGATATGGTTTGAGATCTCACTCGAAGATTCAAATTGGCAATGGAAAGTCGGTTGATTTCTGGCATGATGTGTGGCTAAACGAGGATTCCTTAAAGAATCAATTTCCAAGGATTTACGCTCTTTGTAATAATAAGTGGGGTAAAGTTTCAGAGTTTGGCAGTCTAATGAGGAACAAATGGATTTGGAACATTCAGACGAGGAGGAATCTCTGTGATTGGGAGTTGGATCACTGGATTCTCTTGATGTCATTATTGGAGAATGTCGGTCTCTCGGATTCGGTGGAAGATTTTCTGGTATGGTCGGGGAAGGGAGATGGATTGTTCACTGCTAAAGCTTGCAGGTTGACCCTTTCTTCCAACTCAGAGGGTAATTTCATGTGGAAAAGGTTTGTTTGGTCAGGTTTGGCTCCTCCTAGGGTCGAAACCTTTCTTTGGCAGGTTGCTCATCAAAGATTGGCAGTTAGAACGGAGTTGATTAGAAGAGGAGTTCTTTTAGAGGAGGTCTTTTGTCCTTTTTGTGCTAAACAGAAGGAAACAGTTCAGCATTTGTTCATATCGTGTTTGGTTGCATGGGACGTATGGAGCAAGTTCTGGAGGTTATGGGGAGTCTCGTCTGTGTTGCCTAAAGATCCAGTCTCTTTGCTGTGTTCTTGGTCGGACTTAAGGCCTAAGTCAATTATATGGAGCCTTATTCCGGGGGTAGTTCTATGGTCATTATGGAAGGCTAGAAACTCGGTGGTTTTTGAAGATTGGAAACTGGACAGAGATACTCTTTTCTTCATATGCAGATTCAGATTGGTTAAATGGTTCCTAGCCAAGTACCCGAATTTTTCCATTCAGGTTGACTCTCTTGTAGGGGATCCTACACTGGCAGATAAGCATCAGAGTAGTGACCATAAAAGGATGAAGGTGCAGGGATGGAGTCCTCCTCCACTTCATTTTTTTAAAGTTAATGTTGATGGGGCAGTTAGTGGGGATGGGCTGCTGGGGGGTTTTGGGGGCATTTTAAGAGACTCGGATAGTAAAATTCTAGGGTCTTTCTCGCACGTTGTTGGTCCAGGTCCCCCCCCACTCGCTGAGCTGAAAGCCATTGAGAAAGGCATTGATTTCTTCCTTTCGACGGATTGGGCATTGGAAGGAAGGTTAATTATAGAAAGTGATTGTAAGTCAGTGGTGGATTGGATTTTGTTGCCGACTTCATCTCCTCGTTTTCTTAGTTCGTTGGTTCAAAAAATTGCTTCCATAATCTTGGAGAGGGAAATCATTATTAGACATATCCCGAGGAGTTGTAATTGTGAGGCTGATTCTCTAGCTAAACAGGGGATTGGATGAATATTATTAAGTGTCATAGAGGTTTTCTAGCAGGTTCTTGGTCTATTAAGGCTGAAGGGGCTGGGAAAGTTTTGTTATTGTTTAAGGAAGGTTTGGTCGGTTAGGGAGTTTTGTTTAAATATTATGTAATTTTTATGGCTTTGTCAGTGTGTCTTGGTTGTATTTTATGTAATGAGTCCCTGATCAATAAAATCCTAAGGCACTCTTTTCCTCCCTCCAATGATTAAGGAACTTTCCCAAGAATTCCTTTAATCAAGAAGGGGGATTTTAATGAGGCCTGTTATTTCTATCAAAAAAAAAAAAGATTTTATGTTTATTTCAGGTTCTGTTTAGTTGTGGTTTTTTAAACTGGTATTTTTTTCTGGCAATATAAATCAAGTGCCGTATGGGTTTTATTACTTTATTTTTTGCTCAAATCAACCAAACTGGAAGTATATTGTCAAGTTTCAACGAAATTGAAGTCCAATGGCTAAGTTTCACTTTCACCATTGCAGAATTTCCAATTTCACCTTCATGCCAGTACTAAAATATGAATATTGAGTGTTAATATTTGTGTCAGAACTGATTGGTCTGGTTTTCTCCTGTTGTGATGATTGAGTTTTGTTTTTCCAGTTGATACTTTGAGTTTGCTTGGATGTTCTTGTATGCCTGTGATATTTTAGGAATTGTTCAAATTTTGTATGTTTTTGTGATATTTCTGTGTTGTTTGTCCATTGCTCTTTGTACACCTTGGTCCACATTATCATTTAAAACTAGATATTTTGAAGCAATGTACTGAGGGATTTGTTTAAAGACCTAAACTGTCTCTGAAATTTATCTAACTTGTTTTTGCGCAGCTATTTATTTAGCATGGGCATATATTCCTGAACCTTGGTTACATTCAATCGGGATCTTCTATTATCCTAGCAGGTCAGCAATATTTTTGGTGCTTGCTAAATTTAGGTCTCACACACTTCTCTGTCTCTGAAAAATGGATAAAATAATGTGGGACAAAGTGGTTTGCTTGAATGGTAGTGTTTGAGGGATGATCGGAGGTCTAATATTACATTGATAGTATGTTGAAGCTTAGATCTTAGAATTTTATGACAAGGAAAACAGAAAGGTAGGTTGTAGGAAGCAATAGCAAATCTTTGCTCGATTGACATAAGCAACAAAAAAAAAGGGGGGGGGGAGAGAGAGAGAGAAAATGCATTTGTGGAAAGCAGGCAGTCACACACATAGGGTGTGCTTCCTTGAGTGGAAAGTGATAGGACGAATGAGGAGAATGAAAAAGCAGAAAGAAAATGAATTGGAAGTGTCCTTGGTAAAAAAGTAAAGTGAGATGAAAAACAATACGAAAGAAAGTTACTTCTTTCAATTTTTCAGGTATTGGGCTTTGGCAGTTCCAACTTATGCTATGGTGATAATAGTTCTAGCTGTCACATTTTATATCGGCCTCAACTTCATGTCAACCCCTCCACCAACTTCATTAACCACAATGTTTGGTAAGTTCTAGCTTGCTTTTCTATTGACGTGTTCATGGATTTTGCATCCCTACTAAAAGTGTGTATAAAGATACCATAATATTCTGAAGTCAAAATGGTTTATCACACAAATCTGTTTCGATCTGTTATATAGAAAGAGAGAGAGAAAGTTAAGATCCATTTACACATTTAAAAGTTCTACACTTTTTTTGGATAGATTAACTGAGTTTAGTGACTGAGATTAAAGCTTTAAATTTTGATGATAATTCACTTTTTTTTTGTTTGTAAAAAACTCCTCATTTGCTACTATTAATCTCTGTCTTTCATTTTCACCATCCAACAATTCAGAAAACTTATTGTGAATGGATCCTACCTCGTATATATTGCAATTGCATGATTGGAATTTATACCCTATTTTACATTTCTTTGTAGATGAATTTAGCAGAGAACCTTCGAGCTTTTTGTCTCATATGGAGGGAGATGAGCAGCCAATTGAACCCATATCCGATCTTGGGATCGACAAGATTAATGTTCTCATGTTCGATGATACTAAATGACACGTCCACTCTAGTCGTTCATCTATACTGCCTCTCCATTATTGGGTCTGGAAAGCATCCACGCTTCCCTTTAAACCGGATTAGTTGGCAAGTTTTGAAGAAATTGTCATGCAATTTCTTATTGTTTGAGGGAAAAAAGGTTTGTATTAGGGTTTAGGAGATGTATTTATGAGATGAATCAATTTACCTTCACTCTGTGACATAAGATTGAGGAGTTTTTAGATTAATTCGAAGATGCGTTATTCATTGTAATCGTATGATTTCGTAAATGGTCACATTTCAAATAATGTATTGGATGATGGTTTCATTCCATGCAATGCAATGACTAACTACGATAAAAGTAGCATAATATTTTGACATTTAAGTGATCCAGGGAGGATATTTTGATTTTTCAGTCATTGAAGGGATTCTGATGAAGCTTTAATTAAAGTTTTCATTTTTCAGAAGATTTTCAATATAAATAAATCGTTTCATCTCTACTAATTTTAATTCAATTGATAATATTTGCGAAAATAAATAGAAACATAAAATTAAAAGTTTAAATAAGAATAATGATTACTTAAAAAAATTACGTAATGCACTTTAAAAACATTTTTTTCTTCATTGACAAAATAAAATAATTAAAAAAAGGAAACTAGAAATAGGGTTTCCGCATTCAAAGCACACATGTCGAGAGGGATTTTTTTTTCATGAAGTTGCCGCTTTCACGACCTCTTAACAACAAAAAAACAATTTTAAAGTTCAAACTTCAAACCCCCAACGGATGTTACCAAAACCAAAGTGGGAAATATAAGAAGAAGAAAAGCTGAAAGCTTTTATCTGTTACCTCAAAAACTACTTGAAGATTGGCCAAAAAACAAGAAGGGAAGGGAACCCAGAATTTGTTATTGCATGTAAAAGGAGAAACAATGTCAATGGATCTCAATGATTACACTATCATCAAAGAGGGAGAAGCTGAGATTCTTATGCATGCTAAAAATGAAGTTTTTTACAACAAAACCCAGGTACCAATTTTGCTTTTTTTAAAAAAAAAAATTATTGAATTAATCTGTTAGAATTTTAATTGTTTTTTTTTTATTTTAGTGGGTGGGTAGCTTTCGGTTGAACTGTTGGGAAATTAAAATTTGATTGAATTCATGGTTAATTTTTTACTTAGTTGGAGGCTTTTGGTTTGATTACAAGGTTTTACATTTTTCGTTTTAGTGAGTTAAGCTATATCTCTACGGACTCACTCTTTCGTGAATATTGTAAAGTAATGTCACAGTGATTGGCTACTCAGAAATGGCAGGAAAGGAGAGCAAGTAAAAATTTCTCTTTTCAATGCGTACTACATTTCTGGATGCCTTGAGCGGGATATTGTTTCCTCTGCAGTATATTGTAGTGTTAGTTGTTTGTTTGGTTCTTCTTCACTAGTATGGATCCTAATTATTTACTATGATAATAATAATTAGGTTAACAACAGAGACATGTAAAAGAAACAAATCAGCAGCAAATGTGCCAGAGAAGAATGCTTTGATATCTGACATAGACAATAAAACTAATGGTTCTGATATGAATACCAAAAAATCAAATGAAGAATGTGAAGAGCCTGGAGAAAAACCTGAAGAAGAACGTTGTACCACATCAGAAGAACCAGTTAAGAAAGAGGGAAAAGTTCAAGGGGAGGTCAAACCACCAAGAGTTCTAGAGGTTTTTTCCAAAATCGTCTTTTTTCTCTGTTGTAAATTTCTATGCTTTTCCCTCCCAATGCTAGCCATGCCATTTTCTGAGTTACTTTTAAGGTGATTTTATAGGCCTTGTCAGCTTCCGGGTTAAGGGGTCTGAGATATGCACGGGAAGTAGAAGGGATTGGTCAAGCCTTAGAAAATGATGAAGGTATTATAGATGTATTGATGTTCTGGATGGTATATTTATATTATTTGAAGGATTGAGGGAGGACCTATAGTTTCTCCATTTCTGGTTCCGATGCATGTCCATGCCATTACTGTGTCTCTTCTTGCAGGGGCAGTTGAAGCTTGCCAGAGAAATATAAAGTTCAGTGGTTCTTAGCATGTTCAAAAGTGGAGTCGCATCTCGCTGATGCTCGTGTGTACATGCTTACCAACCCAAAAGAATTTGATGTGGTGTGACATCTGATAAATTATCTTTCAAAGTAACAACTTTATATGAAAATTTTGGCTCGCTGCAAAAGCATTTAATCTGATATGAATATGCAGTTGAAGCTTTAGGTTGAACTCTGTGGAAAATCTTCAATGTAAATCGTTCATATCATGCATTCATTTTATGTCAAAACCACTTTATATGTCTGATATTTTATCTTTTAAATTAACAACTTTACATGAAAATTTTTACTCGCTGCAAAAGAATTTCATCTGATATGAATATGCAGTTGAAGCTTTAGATTGAACTCTGTGGAAAATCTTCAATATAAATCGTTCATATAATCATATTATGCAATCATTTTATGTCAAAACCACTTTATACATAGTAAAAGAATTAGGTTGTTTTTGTTATTCACAATTCATGATTTTTTTTATAACAATTCACAATTCATGATTTTTTTTATAACAATTCACAATTCATGATTAATAGGTAACTTTTATTGTTTTAGGGTGGAACTATTCAAAGGCAAGACATGCTTATATTCTTTATTCCCAAATTTTGTGTTTCAGGTTGATCTTGACCCTTATGGTTCTCCTTCTGTGTTCCTGGACTCTGCAGTTCAATCTGTTGCCGATGGTGCCATGTTGATGTGCACTGCAACTGATATGGCAGTTCTATGTGGGGCTAACGGGGAGGTCTGTTATTCCAAGTAAGATTTACTACTTCTACCCTATTTTGACTGATTTTGAATACTTAAGCTCATCTTATAACTGCACATTGGAACAGATATGGATCTTATCCATTGAGAGGGAAATACTGCCACGGCTTTGAGGATACTGCTAGCCAGCATTGAGGTAGTTTCACGTCCTTCAGAAAACATGTTCGTTAAGCAATTAAGACACATTATTTAGTAAAGGACTCCTTTATTCTTTCACTTGCAGAACTTCTAATTGGTAAAGGACATTAGAAAACATAAATGTAATTATCGCCTTGTCTTAGAACTGCATTCTTTTAGAATTGAATTCCAATAAATTCTTTTTATTTGTCATAATTGGTACATCTTTCTTGAATACAGAGTCATGCAAACCGCTACAAACGATATATTGTTCCTGTACTCTGTCCAGATGGACTTTTATGTCCGTGTCTTTGTTCGCATATACACGTACGTGGCCTGTTTTATTTTAGTTTATTAAAGTAGAAGCTACTCTAACATAATGATGATGGAACGTCAATTAACTTGGTGCAGTTCAGCAAGTGCGATGAAGAATACTCCCCTGAAGCTATCATATGTCTATCAGTGCATCGGTTGTGATTCTTTTCATCTGCAGCCTATTGGGAGAACTGTTTCTAAGGTGTGCTTTCTTATTTATAATGCCATTGGTGCTTCTTATTTGTTATCATGATGCACATCTGAACTCCTTAAAAGAACTTTCCTTTGTCTGCCCATTCAATTGCTTAGTGTTGCCATCGGAGACACGTTCATGCAACTAGTAGGTTCTATAGAGTCTGATGATTGTAGAACTTTCCGTATGTTATCTGACAATATACTTCTCGCTGTTTTATGTGTGCTATGTTTCATCAAAGACTATTTTTCTTGGTGTAGCATAATTTTGAATTTCATGATATTTTGATATTACGTCGACCTTTGTATTTCTAGAATACCAGTGTGAGGTATCTCCCAGGTTTTGCACCTGTTGTCCCTCGAGAGTGTAGCCACTGTGAGAAGAAATTTAACATGGGTGGGCCTATATGGTCTGCTCCAATCCATGATCAAGAGTGGGTAATGAACATACTAGCAGATGTAAAATAAATGAAGGATCGTTATCCTGCCTATGATCGCATCTCTGCTGTTTTGACTACCATTTCAGAGGTATGAATTTTTTTACCGTCAGATGTTATTTCAATAACTTGTAGCCATCCCATTTTCTATTGTGATAATAAATTGTTGAATCAAATTTCAATATAACTGTTTTCACTCAAATATTTCGAACATGGAAATGTCAGCTACAATCTTTCAGATGAACATCCAGTACACGTTTTTAGATATCTATTTATGTATGTTACCTGATTTGAATTTCTTTGCAGGAATTGCCCGATGTGCCTCTCTTTTTGAGTCTGCACAACCTTTGTGCTACACTAAAATGCACTTCCCCATCTGCAGTAATTTTCCTCTCAGCTGTGATCAATGCAGGATATCAAATTTCTGGAACCCATGTGAATCCATTAGGACTAAAATCGGATGCTCCTATGGATGTCATTTGAGACATAATGCGCTGCTGGGTAAGAGGCATCTTTCTTTTGTTTCTATACTTCATTTTGTGTTAACGTGCACACGGAATAAAGTTAAAACAAGTAACCTTGATTACTCATTGGGATTTCAAACCCAACTCCAGTGCATTAATTTGGTCGAGACATGTAATGGAATGTTGTTTCATAAGTTTTTGTTTTTTCTTTAGGTTAAAAACCATCCGGTTAAAGCCCAACCAGCTGATCAGTCCAGAAGTGTAATACTTGCCAAAGAACCAGTTCTTCAAGTATGTTTCCTATGTTGCATTCTTTAATTGCTTACTAATACCCCCGCCATCCCTGGTCTTCCGATCCTTGTTTCATGTAACGCATGTGAACAGATGCATTCTCAGACATAAGTTCAGATTGAAGGTGGCAAAAGTTCTTTTTAACACCCGCAACCCTTTTCCTTTTGACAGGCAAATTTCGCTCGAGCTGTTGCATCCCTGAGCAAGGCACAAGCGAAGAAGGTTGCTCGATTCCTTCCAAATCCTGAAAGGCACTGGGGACCGAAGCTTAGGGCGGCCGCCAAATCACCAGCAAGCACATATCACTTTTGGGTGAAGAGACAGTAAATGGATGTCTCAGCCATCAAGATAGCGAGCTCAACACCAAACGTCAAAAAACCGAACAGATGGAGGATGCTACCACAGAATCATAGACCAGGCTGGCATTAATCTTATATTCCTTCCATCTAAATATTATCATGATTGAATGCAGGTTAGAATGATCGTGGCAGCATAATCAATTTTGCAAAATGTGATTTCTATACTTGATTAAATAATCGAACACATGAGTAAGTTATCATTTCAACGCCATTGAAGCTAAAAGAAGCAAAAGATTCTCCAAGATTTGCTAATGAAGCCACAAAATGAAATAGTACTGTAATTGGATCATTCAATGCCTTGCGTCTTAAGAATTCTATTGCATGTA